ACATACTTTTCCATATTTACTATTGAAAACGTAGCCAAGAAATATAAAATGACAATCTCAGTTTCTACTTTTCCATGGTGCGGAAGAAAAAAATCACCTACGCCCACGAGCCACTGATGAATCAAGCAAATTATCACTCGAGATCGGAAGATTTTAACCCCAAAAACCATGTTGAATTTGAGAACCAACTGTGGCGTCAACATATCATGCAATATTGTGATCAATCAAAAATCATGCCATGGGGTTTCAGGGTCCAGAAGCCCGACTGACGCGAGGGTCCCCAAAACGAACCAACTCAATAAATTGGAATGGACTAAACACCACCCTGAATAGACTTCCAATGAATGAAGAAGGTTCTGCTTGTCTGACATAAGCATATTTTACTTATTCGGAGCAAATTGAATGGTTCAAGTCTGGCGGATGCCATAATAGGCTCACAAAAACGAATATGTTCGTATGACAGCTAAACACAGAAGAGGAGCGATTATGGTTTGGGGTTAAATGACTAGGTCGTGGCGTAGGTAGCTGGTCATTATCGATGGAATCATGACCAATGAGGTCCAAATAATCATTCTAACCGATAATTTGAAATTATTTGATAAAAATCTGACCTATGAAGGAATTTTATATTCCAAAAATTCAGTGACCCCAAATATGTAGCCAATTTAACGATGCAAGGCTTTGGAGATCGAAAAGGTTAAGCTTCTTTCGTTGATTGCACAGTCTCCCGATGTGATTCTGATTGTCCGGATTCAGAAAAGAGGGACTGGTGGGAAACCACTCTTCGAAAAACGAGCTTGTCAAAAGTTCAAAGGAAGTGTGGGCAGCCATATAGAAAAGCGTTATAACGAAACTTGTTGAATCAATTCCACGACGTATTTTTGCTTGTATTGCGTCGAGGGGAGGTGCTACGTAATACTAGAAGCAGTTTGTCATAATAAAATTGGTGTTTCTTTGATTTATGATTTTTTAAGTTAAGGGTTGCCAATACTTTTTGTGGGTAAATTTTGCAAATTTTCCAACAAATTATTTAAAAACTGTGTTTATCTAATTTTAATTAATAAGTCATGATTATAATCGAAAACTACATTATATTTGCTAAATGGGTACAAATTTTCATGCCAATTGTATGATACATTCCATGGTGATAGCTAATTTTATTTAGCTGGCGCGGGGGTTGCCAATACTTTTTCCATTGACTGTATGTAAACAAAAAAATTATCCGTCGGAGTACATATTTACATAAGACATTCCGAAGCAATAAAGCGATTAACATGGAAATGGTGGGTCTTGCTGTCTCTAGTTACACACTTAGAAATCTAGTATAGTTATGCAACTGCTGATTTGTCGGTTTTAAAGTTGTTCCCGCTTGGTATCAAATTATGTATGTATGTATGTATATTGTATACCGGTGCGTACAAACTTGCTACCGATATGGTAAAACCTTAATAGATAGCTAGATAAATATTACTACACGGGATTAATTATGAATACAACTTTCGTATGTAGAGTCCGATTATAACACCGCTTGGTATTATTTCGATATTAGATTTCTATGAGTGTAATTTTATACTTTTCTCCATATGTTTTCTTTGTGAATTTATGGTTTTTAAAATGTTGATTTGTGGGTCTTCCCGGCAAGAACAAGTTCTTTCTTCTTATTAATTATGTACGCCAGTCTGGTTTGCCAATAAAAAAGAGGAAAGTCCAAAAATTTGTTGTTTTTATTGATCAGAGTATAAGCTGTGTTCGCAGAGTTGGTACGAAAATAATCACAAAGTATCGCAAAAAGCTGACTACGCAAGAGTCGCACAAGAAAGGTCCCTAACTTAAAGAAACGCAGAAAATCGCAGAAAAGGTCCGTAAGAATGGGAGAGAGAGAGAACGGACTACAAATAGTACACTTCCTCCAGTTCCTTTCCTGGAGGAAGTGTACCTAGAATCGAGGCAACGTTCCCACGTTGCGCGGCGAGCGAAACCCGCTGGCGTAAAAAGTTAACGGCGTTGGACTGTCCAGTTGCGGCGGCGATCCTCTGGCCAACTTGGAGGATGAAGGCCAGTCCCTCTTGGCCCCAAACTTTCGTGGTCTCCATGGCAACGGGGACAAAAATGTATCGATCCATGAGGAAAGCGTACCTCTTCCTCTTGCGGTCCTCTGCCTTGCTGGCGGCAGCGCCCTGATGGCGCACGGTGTCTGGGAGGTAGCTGGGAGCGAATGTGTCCGCGCAGGTGAAGTCCCAGACAAGGGATCTCCCCCGCGACCAAGGGACAAGTGTCATCCCGTCGGGACGCTTGCCGTCCGTAGTGGAGCACCCCGCGGGCTCCCTGATGCAGGGTACTTCGGCAGACCGGAGGGCTCTTGCGATGACGTCGTTGGCGGCCTCATGGCGGGACCAACGACCCTTACTTCGGCGGCAGGAGAGGCCGTGGTAGCCTCTGGAGGTGACCTGCGCCCCGCACGGGCACTTGTGGGGCTCGCAGATATCGCAGCCTAGGCGGAGGGCGATTGCGACCCGAAAGGTCTCGTTGGGGAGAAGGGTGCCCAGTTGTGGAGAGGGGAGGGCATTGAGCCACACCCCGGCGTATTTGTCACGGAGGGAACGTAGACGGGCAGTATCCTCCGGGATCACTGCCAATTCGGAGAGTTTGGACAAAGTGTTGTCCAGTATGGGGCGTTCCCACGCCGATTGAATCCCTCTGACGGTTTCGAGTGGAAGGTCGGTGAGGTCAAGGTCGGTCCACCGCTGCACACCCTCTGCCATGGCGATGTCGGTGCCATGGAGGTGGTCCGGAAGGAGACGTTCTACATGGGGCAGGATGCTGTGGACCGACGCTAAAAAGCACGGTATCGCCACATCCACAGCGTGCCTGAGCCCCAGGCCGCCTTCCTTCACGGATAGGGAGGACAGCATCCAAGCAGCCTCCGAGAGAGTGCAGTTGAGGATCCCTTCCAGGGCGTCCTTCAGAGTAGCGTCGTAGTGGGCGAGGCCGTCCAACTTTCTCCACGGCGGTGCGCAGCGGAGAAAGTAAATCAGCCGGGGGATGGAGATGGACGCCCTCAGGAGGAAAAAGGCCGAATGAGCCGAGAGATCGAGGAGTCGTTGGGAGAAAGTGGCCAATTGCTGCGTCTTTGTGGCCAGAACCACCCCCAGGGCTTCGTTAGTTAAGGGGGCGCCCAGCAGCATCGCAGAATCAGGGGACATCAGCTGAATCCCGGGGGCAACTTGTTGGAATTGGAGCAGGATGTCGATGGCGGCCTCCCGCTCCGCCCCCAGAATCCCGACTTCACATTTGTCGTGGTTGAGGTGAAGGCCCACCTCACCACTCATCCTAGCAATGGTTGCCAGGGCCGCCAAAGTTTTCTCGGGAGAGTCCCCAATGGCCCCATCGTCGAGGTACCATAAGTTTAGTTCCGTTTCCATGGCTTCGACGATGGGGTGGATTACGAGGGAGAAGAGGGCGGGGCCTAAGGGGTCGCCCTGATGGCACCCAAGGAGGGAAGGGATGGGGATGGTCCCGTAGAAAAGCGACGAGGGGCTTTCGTAGCACTGCGCCACAAAAGGAAAGATGGAGGGAAAGTGGTCGCGGACGGCGTGGAGTAGCGTGTCCCGCCGAATTTCATTGAAGGCGTTCCTGAAGTCGATTTTCAGGAACGCTTTTGCGGAGGTGTGGTCGTGGCCGTAAAAATTCGGGCTGCGTGGGCGCCAATCTCCGCCCCGCCTTTGATGCCCAGCCCCAATTGGGGGGAAAAATGCTTGATTAACTGAGGGGTAATCCTTCCCACAATGATCTTCGCGGCAAGGCGCCGCCACGTATTACCCACAGCGATGGGTCGAATCCCGCCCGACTTCTTCTTCAGGGCAGTGAGGGAAGCTCCGTAAAAGAGGGGGCAAAAAGTTGAGGGGACACCACCGTTGAGGACCTTGTTGAGGAAGGTCCGCATCGCTTCGGCGAGTTGGTCGCCCCCTTCTCCTTGACTGCACCCCAGGAGATCCTTCAAGATCTGGGGCCTCATTCCGTCCAGTCCCCCGCGGACCCTGGCGGAAAAGAGGAAATTGCCCGAAGCAACTCTTCGTCTAAAACAGGGGCAATGACAGGATCCTCAAGTGGTGGAGGAAAATCGACTGGTTGTGGGTGGGCGGGATGTTTTGTGAGAAGGGCGGCGAGGGTCTCATCGTCGGACGGAGCGATGGTGTCATCTGAGCATGCGAGGCGAATTGCTCCCCGAATGTCACCATCGGCTAACTTGGCCTCCACCTTTTTCGCCATCATGTCGAGTGGGGGTTTTTTAGAGGGTGGGCGTGGTGGGAGGGGCCGAGGGATGGAGAAGCCGCCCACCCACCCCGCGGTATGATCCTTGACCCAGGTTGTCAAATTCTTGATGCGATCAGACTTCTGGGGGACTGGGAGTGTTGCATAAGGAAAGAGGAGCAACTTTCCCCAGCTTTCTTCGTCGTCCGACTCGGACACTTGCTCCAGAATCTTGGCAAGACACTGCGCCACAGACCTTCTTGCACCGCGGGGGACTCTTCGCAAAGTGGGCGTGGTGGTCTTGAGGCGGGCGAGAATTTCTCCCCAATCGTAGCGTTGTTGTTGTTGTTGAGGTGAAGGTGGAGGTGCATCCACCCACTGGATACCCTCAAAACAGTTGTGGAGGCCACCCCTGGCTCCAACGCGACGGGTGATGGTGTCGGGGAAAAACTGTTTTATGTATTTCCCAATGGTGGACTCCGAGACTCCGCCCTCCCCGCTCTGGGCGACGTAAACAGCGTAGCGGGCAAAGACGTCTGCTTTCTTCAGACGGATTGGAGGGTGATTGTTGGGGTCGACAACAACAAAAGAATTACGAACCCAGTCCTGGGCGGAAGAAATGGTGTCTTTTTTGGTAACACCAGGGGACGTGGGGGACACCAGGGGACGTGGGGGCCAATAAAAAATATACTTTGAATATGTAAGATAATATTATGACTAATATTATCGATTTAAGAATGCAAGTTTTTCTGAACGAGAATGCATAAGTATTCTAAATTTTCGCGACTTAGTTACATACATATTCGCTTCGTAGTCATTCTTGAAAATGGCTCACCTCTACGCGACCTCCAGTTTTGAAGAACATGCCGCAAAATTAAAATTTTTCACAGAATGCCCCATCCAGTGGGACGGAAAGCGGAAATGCCTCCGTTACAAATCCCCCGTGGGAAACGGTAAGGTTCAAATTTGGCATGTGAGCATGTTTCTCAACGTGGACACCATAACGGCTGGTTCCCTGCTGTACAACTTATTTCAAGTATTACGCGCCCTACCGGAAGAACCATACATGCCGTTGTCAGCAGCCTTAATCTTGGCGCTGTTAGGCATCTTGTCGTACTATGTGATTGTAATCCACGTCATGATCTCGTTATACGGGAAGGATGCGGTTTATGGGTGGAATGAGGTGGTCAAGATCGAAGACGAACTAGTGGGAAGGATGGGACCCGTGGGTAAGTTAAAATTAAGATTCTTCTAATCCATCTAGACGCAGGTACATATATAGCAGCAGAGCGTCCGGTGCAAGAAATATTTAACTGCGAAGAAGTGGTTGTTCGGAATCATCTTGGCCTGCAAGAATTGCGAACCTATTTCCCGTCCATGTTTCAGAGCGAGCATAGCCAGACGGGAAACGTATCGTGCACCTTCTTGTACCTTGCATTTCCTGTTTCTTGCCTTGAATTACAAGAAATGTATATAGCCAACCCGCAAGAAACAAATTACGGATATAGATTCAACTGGTAGATATGACTAAGAACACAGGATTTAAATATATTAGCTTTCGTATTTTCGAAATTAAATACTAAATATGTACATATGTTTGGCTAAGTTAGTTATATAAATATTGTGTTTCACATAGAAAAAGACGAACCCAAGATGCCAGAAGAATTTCACGCTACGCATGCCGCCAGCTTGATCTTTCTCGTACGAAGTTTCTCCATCTATCGATTTCTCGTCCTTCCATCTGAATTTTTCATGAAGTTTGACTGCTTCTACTTCATAATACGAGACCTGGATGAAACGTATAACCTTAGCCTGCCGACCATGGTCATCTCGAACTTGTTGCGTTTCGTGCTCCTAATTGTCAACGTGTTCGAAATATGCCGCGCTCTGTCTCTCGTCATCCTATGCTTTGTCACCGCTCTAAATATGGTACGCTCCATATTTTCCGTCCTGTTACACGATTCTGAACGATCTTTTGTTTCAGTGGCGCGAATAAATGAGGGGATAACGACTCATCTTAAGGTTCAGTTGGCAACGAAGGCTTTCGCACCATTTCAGGAATTGGGTACCATCTTTTTAATCCTAGTTGGACTCGTGGTTGTCGTCGTGTCCAATTTCGTCAAGATTAAGTTGTATAATTCATTACCGCTTGTGGTCTACGTATTCTTTCCCTCGGTGTCGGTTGTGGTGGCGCTCGTTATAAATCTCACGTTACCCCTGGCACATGGATTGCTGGATGCTAGCACGGAAATTCAGGGGAGATGGGGCGCCTCGATGGTGGGGGAGGGTAATCAGATGGAGTTAAAATGTGGGAGGAGGTTAAAAAGTGTGCGGCCATTTTGTCTGTGGGCGGGTTTCGGGGGGAGTAAGATGTTTCGGTTAGACAGGGAGACGAAAGTGCAGTATTTCGAACAAGTGGTCTCCCAAACGGTGACGGTGTTGTTGACTTAAAACGAATTGCTCGGCTAAAGTTAATTAAGATATATACATACCTACATATGTATATATTTGTATATGTACATATGTAGGTCTGTATGTGGTCGGTATTAAATAGTATTAAACTTTAAATTTCAAATTGTGACGAATTACTGGTTAAATTAATAAAATGAATTTCGTGCAACCTTGTATGAAATAATTTGAAACAATTTGGGATAATTCTCTCCCTGGGTTTCTTCGAAGGATTGAAGTAATTTGTGAAGTTTGAGAGTATGGATAATGATGAATTTGTATACGAACTATGATGCTTACTTGAGATCCCTTAGGAAATGTTAAGTACACATTTTTAAACATTGGGTGGATATGCATACTTAAATAAATTCCAATTCGAGAAATTAATCACCTGATATTGTAAATGCATCCAAACCTATTTTCTGCATTTTAAATCCCTCATTAATTTTGAACCACTCAGTCTTTAGCGCCGCTTTCACCCAGTAATAAAATTGAAGGCTTTTTAATTGCCAAAACTTATCACATCGTATTCATTTTAATTGTGTACATGTAAAATAACACATATAGAAATGATCGATTTGTGATGTATCTGAAAATTCGTTTATCAAAATTTGTCTAATTAGGGTTTTAATTATTTTTAATTTGTCCCACTATTGTGGGCGATAAAACTCCGGAGGACGCTCTGCGTGGACGATGGGGGTTGCAGGAAAGGGGATGACCACTCCGAAGGACGCCACACAGTAGGCGAGTAGCCGAGGTAGAATAGAGAGCAACTCGCTTGGGAAGACACCCCCACTATGACACAATGTTCCTCCCCGTATGGAAAATATGCACAAGTACTCGGAGGATTTTACACACAATATGGTATCCGAATTCAGTCACCAAAAGTACGAAGGGGGCACACACACGAGTTTATCTTTCATAGACAGAGATATCCAACATTTATTACACGTCGCTTTGTAATTTTACAAATAGAGTCTATTTTATGAAGTGAATGGTGTAACTAATGGGAACTTAAATATTGTGGGAAACTTATTGATATATGTATGTGCAGTATACGGAGAGTGAGAAGAAGCTTGTACTTCTCCCGACGCCAAATCCTCTCTGCCGTGATTCTTGCAGGGCGGTTGGTATTTCTCCTTGCTGAACGAGACGACGCTACTCCTTGTCCTTGGACATAATGTATAGAGAAGCTGGAGTCACTGTCCGGACAGTGATAAGGATGTATGAATATGGAGACGAGAGAGATGAGAAGGGAGGATGCATGGTATGCATACTTCCTTCACTATAATATTTAGTTGTTGATCAGTTTATACTATATATGTAACATACCTATGTTTGTCAAACCATCTTTGTTGTGCAATCTGGAATAATTTGTATAGATACATACATTAATTTCCTAGAATTGGTATTTTAAAATACCAAACCTATCGGAGCATAATTATCCTCCTCAAGGATTTGTTTAATTTTTTACTATTAAACATGTATGAAGGACAGTTTTTATGTCGTTGTGACATTATTATGTTCACGATTTGTTGGTTTTATGTATTTCCCTATAGCTAGGAAATAATTGGGATGGGTAAGACAGGCCTATTTGAGTTTACAAGGTTTTATCGTCGTGGAAGTTACCCAACCGATTAAATTGAGCAGTAAGTTGGTTATTCGTTGCCACAATCTAAATAAAATAATAATAAGTTTATATCCGTGCGTATTTATCCCATATACCAAAGTAAAACCAGGGAAGAACTTAGGTGAGACTGTGAATTTGGAAATGAAAACTAAAAAAAATTTCCTACCAAATGAGCTAAAATAATTAGGCCGGATTGAATTCTAATCTGTAACAGATACATGTGCAAATACTGGTTTAGAAATATTACGCATCATTTCAGCAAAAATTCGAAAATACATACGCGCAACAAAGTTTCTTTGCAACATCATTTGTAAAAGTTACCTAACTATAAGAGTGGTTCGGAAAAATGTATTTTTAAGCTGCTCAACTCCAAATGCTGCTGTGCACCTTGACCTTCCTCAGTTCGGCTAAAGCTTTGTGGATTTCAGAACAGTTTTCGTAATTTTCAATTTTGCCTATTTTCTTTAAGCTTTGCATCTACTTTTTAACATTGCAAATTTTCCAAACACCCCTCCAGTTTGGGCAGTTTGCCCCTTAAGCATAATGCCAATGTGTCCCAAAACAGGTTTTTGAAAAAAATTTTTTGACTATCGCAGAAACGACTGAACACGCCAGCCACTCTACGACGGGTATAATTATGTACTTGTGTAATTATGTACATAGTTTTGGATGAATATTTGCTTTAGCCACAAACAATACCCTCATCTAAGAAAAAGCTCATAGTCTTCCTCGGTCTGCATAATTAATTTTATACGTCAACCTAAACAGTTTGCCAATAAGACTTCCTAAGTAAACCTACTTTCCAATGGCAAGTAAACTTTTTTTAATTTTTAATCAGAAAATTTGTATATCTAACCAATCGATCGACATATCTGTCTACAAGAATATGCCCTAAACAACCAAGGTTTGAATTACCTACGAAGTTATAAGACGTACGTATTCGGAAAACAGGCATAGAACGAAATGGCTCCCCCATATGTGTCCTCCAGTTTTGGGGAATATGCCTCAAAACTAGGAATTTTTTCGGAATGCCCGATCCAATGGGATAAAGCACGGCAATTTCTCCGTTACATGTCTTGGAGACAAAACGTGTCGGTTAAAATGTGGCATTTGAATATGTTTCTCATGGTGGACATAATATCGGGCGGGACGGCGTTGTACATTATATTCGAAATTGTACGCTCCACTTCGAAGAAGCCCTACATGTCGTTGCAATATTCCTTAATTTTCGTGTTTCTCTGTGTCCTCCTCTTTTACGGTATTGTGAACCATGTCATGGTGACGTTACACGGAAAAGATGCTGTCAACGGGTGGAATGAAATTGTTAAGATTGAGGGACAGCTGGTAGCAAGGACGTTCGAGGGTAAGTAAAGAGTTAAATGCATTTTGTGTAAATTTTAGGCCAGGCTAAGAAATCTTTATACTTCTTTTGATCAGAATTTGAGTTTACACGGTTTAAAAAATTTAGTCTTTAGCTTAACCCAGCACCAATAATCGCACTATTTAACATTTTAGTAGTTAAACACGCTTACATAGAAATCTGGTAGGCATAGGCGCGCAGGTATTGATTTCTCAGTCCCAAACATGCTACTGCTTGGTACTAAGTTTAATTATGTATACTGGTCCATACAAATTAATTACTCTGTAATACCGAGCTATTACTACGTACACGGTATTACCACTATGAATACCACTTTGGTGGAGTCATAGATAAATGAATATAGTTTAGGATTAGTATTTAGTCCTTGGTGTTGGTTGAATAAGTGCTAGATTCCTAAGAGTGAACATTCCAAATATATATAAGTGTTAATTGAGTCTATTTGGAATCTTTCCCCTCTAGAACGTAACGTGACCACTGTGACGGCCGAGTCTCACGCAAAACTGACCTTCATTTTAACCCTAATTGTTCGAAGTTTCTACATTTATCGATTTTTCATCGTCCCATCCGAGTTTTTCATGCAGTTCGACGCTTTTTATTTTATTTTGCGAGACATAAACGACATTTACCAGTTTGGCCGGGTAACCATGGTTATCCTAAACACGGCACGTTGCCTTCTGCTCGTGGTAGACGTCTTCGAAATAATCCGTGTCTTTTGTCTTGTAATTCTCATTTTTATCAGCGCATTAAACATGATCCGATCCATATTTGCGGCCCTGTTGCACTTATCTGAGCGACGTTTTGTGGGTATGGCGCGAATCAATGCGGGAATCACGACCCAAATTAGGCTACAGTTGGCAATGAAGGCGTTGGCGCCGTTTCAAGAATTGGGCACCTTCTTCTTAATCCTCATCGGACTCGTGGTATTCGTCGTGTCAAATTTCGTCACGATTAAATTGTACGACTTTTTACCGTTTCCGGTCTACGCTTTTTTTCCATCGGCCTCAATTGTTACGGCGTTAATTATAAATCTAACGTTACCCCTTGCACACGGATTGTTGGATGTTAACACAGAAATTAAGAGGAGATGGGTCGCCTCGCTGGGGGAGGGTAATAACAAGTTTCAGATAAAATACGGGAGGATGAGATTAAGAGGGGTGCGATTGTTTTGTATCTGGGCGGGATTCGGCGAGAGTAAGATGTTTCGGTTGAACAAGGAGACAAAGGTGCAGTACTTCGAGCAAGTGATTTCCACAACGGTGACTATTTTGCTGGGAACTTAAGAAAGGATATTCGATTAAAATGAATTAAATAAGCATGGGTTTCAGTAGTATAAGAAATATATGGCGAAAGTATGTTGTGTAGTTGGAATATAAATTTTGATGTTAATATTTCGATAAATTTTGTAGTGATTAATTAATGAAATAAATTCTGAATAAAATCCGTGAAGCGTTTACATACATACTGTATCGATATGTAAAAGCTGAAATTTAACTTGGATAGCCATTTCGCAATTCTATGAGGGATTTCACGTCAAGTTCGTAACCTACGTAACTGCGTTAGGTTTGTAAGTTTACACACTCTTGACGTGAGTTGATTTTGTAAACGTTTTCGTAAACATTTTTTAGTAAAAAAAAATATCGCATATAAAACGTCATCAAAATGTTGCTAGCCAACTTTATCCTACCTTACACCAAATGACATGTAATTCTTTTTGAATTTTTTTGCCTAAAATATCAGTTTTTCAGGAATTACACAGCCATTTCATAGGTCACAAAATTCTATAATATACCAAAATCATCGTAAGATCAAGACCGATCGATTGACACCCCACTGGATGAAGTGTGTCAATTTAGCCCGGATTTGACATTTGGGGGCTGGTCGGATAGCGACAAATATTTTCGGCTGGCAGCAATCTTTTGTAAAATAATTAAATTAATTTGCATTTGCGGGACGAGATCACAAAAAATTTACAATAGACAATTCGTCTCTAAGACAATTTCAACCGAAAATGTAAATATCAAATTCGAATTATTTACGAACTTTTGTTTACGAACCAAAAACATACGTTTGAAGTGCGTAAGTTTCGTAAAAGTTCGTAAGTCAATTTTCCTTAGAAATGTGTGTAAAAGTTCGTAAAAGTTTGTAAGCTTACAAACCTTACGCAGTTATTGACTGGGAACTGGTTAAGGGTGATGGATTTGATTTGAATTTCAGCCCGCTCGCAATGTTAATCAAATGGACACGTGTTTTTGGCGGGCA